TGCATAGAGCCACTCCGGTCAATGATAAACACCACATTTTTGGGAATACGTGGAACATCAGAGGGTGCAAAGTAGTGGACGAAATAGCCATTTGATACCTGAGAGAACAGAGAAGTAAGTACATTATGAATATCACCGATGCCTTTTTACATGGTCAAGGTCCAGATTTTTGCCAAAATGGTCACATATTTTACTCTTTTAAAGCATGTTATTGAAAATGTACCATGACTTCTCCTTTGGGATTTCGTCTCTCAACATCGTACGTTACAAGCAGGTCTCCATTCAACCCATTTTCTCCACAGCTTTTACACTTGGTCTGTTGATCTCGTGTGGGGTAGAAGGTCACCCATGCCTGAAATGATCAGTTTGGTCATCTGGTATCTTTATTTGAAGTGTATGAGCATATTGAGAGCATCTAAACTGTGTTTTAACCCTCATTTAAGCTCTTACGTCTTTGTCTGCTCTGGTGGTTTTGATGGCATTGGCCAGATCACCAGTGCTCAAATCTCCTTTCACCTCCAAGAAGGAAATTCCTGGTTTCTCTTGGATGTGCACATCCATCTGATGTAAGTAAAGAAACATTATCTCTCTATCTATCTAAATTGATTATCCATCTCCTCCTTGTATCTTCTTCTACCTTGAAGTCAGCCACCGGCTGCATCGGTTGGGCATTGATGAGTAGCTCATATTTGCCGAGGCGACGCTTTAGCAGTTCTTCGTAGGTCAACTCAAAGGTCACTTTACTAAAAGCAGCCACCGTCACTGAAGTTTTAAAGTCCTCTAAAGTCCTTCCAACAGATCTGAAATAGAAAAAAAATCACTGCATATTACTAAACATGCTATATATACATAGTTGTATGGACCTAATTTAAATAAATTCCAGTACTTGACCAGTCCAGCACTTTGTCCTCGAGATACTGCTTGATTGTATTGCTGCTGAGCTGCTTCTTTTTCCTTCACAATCCCGTCATATGTTTTTCCCTCTATGGTCCTACGGAGAAAATGACACAATGACATTCTCATAACATACCAGAAACTTACATTTTTTGAATTATGTTCATAATATAAAATTAGAATCAGAGACACGCTGTTGAAACAGAGAAGCTGATGAGTAAATTCTAGCTCTCAGATTAACATACTGTACATAAATTTAGTGAAGCACGTATAGTTTGAGTAGTATTTACTCCTCTGTATTGTGTTGGGTCGGTTCCTGGCCCCACAGAAACTCAACGTGATTCTGGCCGTCGTGGTATCTGATAGACGTTGTGCTTATTGTCAGATGATGGTTTGTTTTGTAATGAAATGCAATTTTACGACATCCATTTTGTCCAGTCATGGATTCTCCATTCATAGAGAACTCTAGGACACACAGTACAAAACATTTAATTACAGAAAAAGGCGACTTTCAAAAGGACGTGCATGTAGTAAATGTGTAATAGTAACCTGAAGCTGAATCCTGTAGGAGTCGGAGTTTGTGAGGAACAGGAACGTCAAAACAAAGCGGCTTAGACTGACCAACAACAGGCAGCAGGAAACGACTGCTATGAGCTGGTGGAGCTAAGACAAAACATAACCAAATGCAGCATCATAATTATTCTATAGAAATGGTATAATAATTAAGTTTGAGAGCACTTTATGTACCTGACATTGTAGAAAGTACAGTTACTCTCCTTGTAACCGTGGGCATTTGTTCTAAAAAACAAAACAAAAGAGGTTTAGTCATTAAAAAGCCAGATACAGGCTATTGATAATAAAGCTTTTCATGCTTAGTCAGTTTAGCAATAAGTGAAATTATTATTCTTATTATTAAAGGTTTTTGAAAAAATTTTTTTTAAAGACATCTATGCTCACCAAGGCTGCATTCATTTAATCATAAATATAATAAAACAGACTTTTTATATTTAGTGTTATTTTGTGAAATATTATTGTAACTTAAAATAACAATTTACATTTATAAATGTAATTCATTCCTGTATTTTCATCTTACTCCAGTCTTAAGAGTCACATGATCCTTCAGAAATCTGATGATGATATGCTGATTTGCCGTTCCAGAAACATTATTTCTTAATTAATGTTGAAAACAGTTGTGCTGCTTAATATTTTTGTGGAAACGTGATACATTTTTTCAGGATTCTTTGATGAATAGAAATATTTTATAACATTAGAATTGTCTTTCTGGTCACTTTTGATCAGTTTGATTAATAAAAGTATAATTTTTTTTTTAAATCTTACCGAGCTCAAACTTTTGAACGGTAGTGTATATTCAACATGTATAAGCAGATATACATCATTTGTCTGAACCTTCATCTCATGTACAGATAGGCCTATTTAATCTGTTTTTGTACCCTGATTTGACTCAGTCTTCTTCATCTTGAACTAAAATTTGACCCTCACCTTCTTAACAGGATCAGAAGTGGCTGAGATGAGAAAGACGCACAAGAGAATCAGCCGGAGAGCTGCTCGATCCATCATGACCTGCACAGGAAACTGACCTCGAAATGCACACTGCCTTTAAACTCAAGTCCACATCATACTATTGGCTATTATTGAACGGATACAGAAACCTCCCCCTTTATTTGTAATCAGAGTCTCTTGAACCCCACATAAGTCAATAACAAGTCATGCTTTTAAAGAAAATATATTATCTAATTTGTAAATGCATTCTGTAGAAACTTGGTGTTAAGCTTTTATTTATATTATCAGGCAGGACCACAAAAAAAGCATATTTTCCAGGAATAAGCACCAATCGAAGGGTTACTATGTATACATAAAATGTTTGGTGTGAAATTTTAATTGCTATTTTATAGTGCAACAAGTGGTGAGCAAATCTTGCACTCTAAAACAGAACAGTATACACAGATGGAAATCACTTTAAATGAATATTTGGGTTGACTATTGATGTGAAATTATTGTACATGGTTATCAAAGCATGCAAAAGATGTGGTACACTGGAAATAACATTGTCATGCCCCTACTATTTGCCAATAGAGGACTGTTTTATAGCTCATAAACAATGTCCATTTAAAGAATATGTTATATTATTAAAAAAGTCAGCACGATAATGGACAATAAAAATGATTTTTGCTGAACTCTACAGCTGAGTGACAGTGAAGTCAGCGAGCTCTCGCTGCGCAACAGCCTGGAATGGTACAAGCCAACATCCAACCACAGGACCAGAAGCAAGTCTGTAGTCCTTCACCATCACCCTGAAATAACAACATACACTTACTTAAAAATATATAATAACATCATATGCCAAAATGCAGTTTTATGGAAGTTCAGCTAAATGTACACTACTGGTCAAAAGTTTGTAATAATTAAGATTTGAAAAATTCAGCACCAAATTAGCATATGATTTCTGAAAGATCGTGTGACACTGAAGACTGGAGTAATGGCTGCTGAAAATTCAGCTTTGCATCACAGGAAAAAAAATGTAAACGGCAATAATGTTGCAATAATATTTCACAAAATTACTGTTTTTATTGTATTTTTGTCAAATAAATGCAGCCTTGGTGAGCATACACTTCTTTCAACCCCCGGCCACCGGCGGGCTATCGACTCGGGGTGGGCGGCTTCGGATAGGGGGCCTCGGCGTCTACCGTCAGCCCAAGTTTCGAGTGCCTAGGCCTCGTCCTCGGCGAGATATAGCCGGTCAAAGTCTCAACTTTGGGGGGCGCTATCCCCGGCCACCGGTGGGCTATCGACTCGGGGCGGCTGATCAGCAAAAATGGGCCAGTCAAACTGCAAAGTGAAATAGAGACATTTCTGATAAAACACATTTAATTATATTTAATTTTATAATGTAACAGTGTAACATTGTTATTAAATTACATTAGAACATCAATTTCAATCCATTTCATCAATAAAACAAATGTCATTAAAATTTTTTTACAATAACTATAACAAGTAATGTTATGACAACAGTTTAAAAGTTAACAGCCAATGACTGCAAATAATTTCAAAGAGAAGAGGTAAGACAAGCAAACCTTTCAATCAATTTCATCAATACAACATAAATTTCATTAAAGGGATCATATGATGCTTTTTTAAAGATCCTTATATTGTGTATTTGGTGTAACAGAATAAGTTGACATGCTTTAATGTTCAAAAAACACATTATTTTTCAAATACTGTACATTATTGTAGGTCCTCTATGCCCCGCCTCTCTCAAGCGCTTCGTTTTCTACAAAGTCCCGCCTTCCGACAAGCGCAGTCTGCTCTGATTGGCCAGCTGACCCAGTGCATTGTGATTGGCCGAACACCGCAAGCACTAGTCGAAAATGTAACGCCCCTTACCGTGTAGCGCTCTCTCTCGCTCTCTCGCTCTCTCTCTCTCGCTCGCGCTCTCTCTCACTCTCTCTCTCTCTCTCTCACACACACACACACACACTCTCCCTCTCAACCGCCCACACCCACTCCCTAACCCACTAACAAAACAGATATGTGGGGGCGTGTTAGAACGAGCCGTTTTAGGGGGCGTGGCTGACTCTTAACTTTGATAAAGAATATCTCTTTGGTTTTGAGACTTTAGTCTTTGCAACTTCAGGGATCTTATCTATGCACAATCAGCTTGTAACACTCCAAAGAGAAAGGAAAACTTGAAATCGCATCATATGACCCCTTTAAAAAAATTTAACAGTAACCTGAAAAGCTAGTGTGTGTGTGTGTGTGTGTGTGTGTGTGTGTGAGAGCGCGTGATTTGAAAGCTTTTCAAAAACACTCTTGATAGATAAAGCCATCATCATCAAAAATGCCATTCTCTTCACCACATATACTCTTCAACACACATACACATGCCTCACTAACATGCACACACAAATATAGTCAAGCACACATAAACACACATCACATACAAACACATTTAGAAGGTAAAATGTGAAAAAGGTATGCCACAAATTCAATAATTCAATATATCGATAATATAAATAATTTTTAATAAGAGAAACCAGCAGAATTTCAGCTTAAACTCATCTCAGAAGGTGGCCCATTTTAACTGAAATTAATGGCTCATTTTATCTTAACACATTCAGGTAAATTGGGCCAGTGACTAAAAATGCTTTTTTTATATAAAAATCTGGATTATTTAGCAAAATCGGCATTTTATCTCACAGAGGCCATCAAGACATAGGTTATGAATCATTATTTTTAATTGTGCATTTGTTTTTTATTGATTTATCAACCTTATTATTGAGAAGTAAGATTGGATATGTCAGGCCACTCAGCTTGCTTTTTTCTTGTGCGGTCTCAAAATGAGGCATTGCCCCTCACCCCTGAGCAACCTCAGACCAATAAAATAATTTGCTAAATATCAAGTACTGTAATGGCATCAGTTTGAAATTCTTTGCAGTCATTGGCTGTTAACTTTTAAAGAGATAAGACACTCAAACCTTAAATGGCCCATTTTACCTGATGGCCCAATTTGCCTGATATCACCCTAATAAGTACTTATATTTGGACTATTGTAGCCTGGTCGGGTCGTCACCGCTGCGGAGTAAGAAACACATATCGCCATAGACATGACACTCCAACTCTACAGTATGATTTCTCCATCCAGCTAATTTCTTCTACAATTACCCCATCAACTTCGGTCAGAAATCTTGGTGTAACCTTTGATGACCAGCTGACCTTCAAAGACCACATTGCAAAGACCGCTCGATCTTGCAGGTTTGCATTGCACAACATCAGAAAGATCAGGCCCTTTCTAACGGAGCATGCTGCACAACTTCTTGTCCAGGCCCTTGTCATTTCTAGGCTGGACTACTGCAATGCTCTTCTGGCTGGACTTATATCAAGCACAATCAAACCTCTACAAATGATTCAGAATGCATCAGCACGACTGGTCTTCAATGAGCCCAAAAGAGCCCGTTACACCTCTCTTTATCTCCTTGCACTGGCTACCGGTCGCGGCTCGAATCAAGTTCAAGACATAGACACAAACTTAGAGAAGTAGCTCCAGTTGGAATGTTCTTCCGCGGGATGTGTGCAGTTCTGTTTATTAACAGCCAGAGCGCCAAAAGTTACATAGTGCTGCTTTAATAATTGGACATAAGTAATAATTAGTAATAATAAGTAATAATTTAACATAAAATAATTAGACAAGACATGCATGATATGTACATGGCAGTTGTGTTTATTCATTACAGAATCTGGTTGATAAATGTAGAAGAGAAAAGGAATGAAACCACCTACGTTTAGCCTGAATATGCTCAGTGTGATATTGTCCACCTGAAAACAAAGTGTTTTTTAATGTTGTAAGCTTGAATCAAAGTTCCCTATCAATACTTCACTCGTACTGCGACTTGCTTAAGATGCTAAGGGGAAACTCATTTTTCTCCGAATACTGAAGCCTTTTTCAATCACGCAGTGAAACTGCACGGCCATTGGTTTCGTGCAGTATATTAAAAACTAACCAATGGCTCGGCAGCGGAGCTACACGAGCCTGTGGCGGCACAGCCCGCCAGAGCCCGCCAATTTGGGCGGGGCATCTGGCAATATAAGCATGCACTTCGCCATAGGATCCTCATATTTCTTCTCCTTCAGCGACGACAACAGATCTTCGCACTACGAGACTATAAGCCTTCGCCGTGAACAAGCCTCACAACGGATCAAGACCCCTCTCTGCTTGGCTGACTTCACCGCTCTTCAGCTGCCTTCGGCGTCTGCAGCAGTGTGGTCTCCCAGTCCCCTGCCGCTATCCGGCGACTATAAGAGCAAATTTCTAAGAGCAAATTTCCGGTGTTGTTTCAAATGCCGTGCCGCTACTGTCGCTTGTGCAGGGCTACCTTGCACGCCGCTGACAGTCACGGCCAGTGGTGGTGGCTATATGCCCTTAAATGGTCTGTCTTCTCCGCCTGGTGTATGATCCGCGGCGATCCAATTTCCTGCGACATATCTCTGATATTCTCCTTCCTGCAGGAGCTGTTGGATAAGGGTCGTTCCCCTTCCACGCTCAAGGTCTATGTAGCAGCCATAGCAGCTTCACATGCTCCTATAGCTGGCCAGTCAGTGGGCAGGAACAACCTAGTTGTTCGATTTTTGAAAGGGTCTAGGAGGCTCAACCCGCCTCGCCCTGTCACTGTCCCTACATGGGACCTGCCTACGGTGTTGAGGGCTCTGAAGAGCCCTCCCTTTGAGCCGCTACAGTCTGTTGACCTTCATCCCCTGACGCTAAAAACTGCTCTGCTACTGGCGTTAACATCGGTAAAGCGTATGAGTGATCTGCAGGCGCTCTCAGTGAGTCCTACCTGCCTCGAATTCGGGCCCAACGACTCAAGGTTCGTCCTGAAGCCGAGGCATGGTTATGTACCTAAAGTGCTCTCGACTCCGTTCAGAGCACAGGTCATAGCTCTTTCGGCACTTCCTCCTTCGGAGCAGGACTAAGAGCTAAATCTACTCTGCCCCGTCAGGGCATTGAGGATATACATTGAGCATTCCGCCCCGTTCAGACGGTCGGATCAGCATTGAGTATGCTTTGGTGACCGCACCAGAGGGTCTCAGGTCACGAAACAGAGACTTTCCAA